GAGTAAAGAGAAAAGGTGACATTGGATCCCCTTGCCTAAGCCCTTTTGCAGCATCAAACCTTTGAGTATTCTGACCATTAACAACAATACTGTAGTTCACTGTTTTAACACACTTCATTACCCATTGAGTAAATAAGTCAGGAAAACCCAACCCCTCCATTACTTGCTCTAGGAAAGGCCATTCTACAGAATCATAGGCTTTTTGTAAGTCAATTTTTAGCATACTTCTAGGTGAAACATTCTTCCTTGTGTAAGCCTTAACCAACTCATGAGCTAAGATAATATTATCTCCAATTTTCCTCCCTGGGATGAATCATGCTTGGCTATCACTGATGATACTATGGATGACTTCATGCATTCTTTGAGCAATCACCTTTGAGATTATTTTATACATCACAGTGCAGCAAGCAATGGGCCTGAATTCTTTCACACTCTTTGGACTCTGCACCTTAGGAATCAGTGAAACAAGTGTACAATTGAATGACTTAAAAAGGTTTCCTGTATTGAAGAAACTTTTAACAGCATCAATAACATCATGTTCAATGATATTCCATGTATGTTTAAAGAAAAGAGCATTATATCCATCAATACCTGGAGCCTTATCACTCCCTATAGACTTCAAAGCTTCAACTATCTCCTGATCAGATATTGTTGCACAAAGCTAGATTTTGTGTTGCCTTGATAGAACAGGTCCTCTTTTCATCACTTGAATATTTATAGCTGGTAGTCTATCTGCTGCTGTGCCCATTAAACTTCTATAAAATAATACAAACTCATTTTGGATCTCTTGAGGTTCATGTATCATCCTTCCATCTAGTGACATCAGGTTCCTAATGGACTTCTTATTGTTTCTCTCCTTTATCATTGAGCTAAAATATTTGTTGTGTGCATCTCCTAGCTTAATCCATTTTGCTCTTTCTTTTTGCCTGAGTGCATTTTCTTCTAACATAGACCATTTTTCAAGTTTTGTTAGGAGTTTTTTTTCTTTCCAACTAACTCATCTTTTGCATGGTTACCAAGCTGGTTTTGTACTTCTGCAAGCTCAGTTCTAGCATCCTCAATCTGCTTGCTTATGAATTTGAACTCACTATTATTCAACTGTTTTAGGACATGTTGGAGGGCCTTTAGTTTATTCCATACCATCTTCATTGAGTCCTTTCCTTTCTCCTTCTTCCATACTGTCTCCACCAGCTCCAAGAAGGATTCATGTTCAATAC